CATCGTCAGCTGGCTCCAAGGCAGGGTGATAAGACAGAGGAGCGTAGTAAAGTAGACCCATTTATGAAGTGGCAAAGCAGAGAGAGATCAAGGGAGGAGGAAGAGAGACACATCTGCCTGTGCCACTCCCCAAGCTTCAGCTCCTCCAGCACATATTTAGCTATAAACTCATCAGTGGGCCAATCCACGGATGACCATCATGCCTTCATGATCGGATCACCTCCTGAGCCCCACCTACGAATGCATGAGGCTTTGGGGGGCATCTAGATGTAGACTCTAAATTATAGGACCCCAAGCTAATTCTCAAGAGTGGAGCTTTTATAAGAGTGAATGTGGCCCCTCCCCATGCTCTGACTTCCTGTCTTGCCATGTGATCTCTCCCACTCACATACGCTCCTGTTATGATGTCATTTTCTATAGGTTATGCTTTTGGGATAGGAGGACACATACTAGAGCTACTGTCTGGACTTTCAGCCTCTAAAACCATGAGCTGCACAAATCTCTTTTTTCACATGATTCACCTTCAGGTGTTTCGTTATGGTAACAGAGGATGGACTAATGTACCATGTTAAGAAATTCTAACTTTACCTTAGAGGGGAAAGGGAGCCAGGTGAAAGCAAAAGCAGTTTCTCAAAAGAAAGTTACTGCATATAGTTTGGATCTGAAATGTCTCTCAAAGCCCAATGTTTTAAAGGCTTGGTCTCCAGCTTGGCGCTATCGGGAGGTGGTGGAACCTTTTTTTTTTTTTTTTTTTGGACAGGGTCTCACTATGTAGTTGAGACTGACCTGGAACTCACTATGCAGCCCAGGCTGGTCTTGAACTCACAGAGCTCCCCCTGCCTCAGCCTCTCGAGTGCTGGGATTACAGGCATGCACCACACGCCAGGCTAAGGAGGTGGTGGAGTCTTTTAAGAAGCAGGAATTAATGCAGTGGTGGTGAGCCCATGGCCTGTGTGCCACAGTGAGTGATTTGTTATCATGAAAGCTCCAAATTTTTTTTTTTTTGAGACAGGGTCTCACTATGTAGTTGAGACTGACCTGGAACTCACTATGCAGCCCAGGCTGGTCTTGAACTCACAGAGCTCCCCCTGCCTCAGCCTCTCGAGTGCTGGGATTACAGGCATGCACCACACGCCAGGCTAAGGAGGTGGTGGAGTCTTTTAAGAAGCAGGAATTAATGCAGTGGTGGTGAGCCCATGGCCTGTGTGCCACAGTGAGTGATTTGTTATCATGAAAGCTCCAAAGGGTTCATCATCACTGGCCTAGCGGGAGGAAGTTGAGTCACTAGGGGCAATGCCCTTGAAGGGGATATTGAGACCCGGCCCTTCTCTTTCTCTTTCACTTCCCAGCTGCTCTACAGTTGGCATGTTGCTTCACTACGTGCTCTCACCATAACGTTCTGACTCACTGCAGGCCCCAAAGCAGTGGAGCAGACTCACTATGGACTGAAGCTTCCTAAACTGTGAAGCAAAATAAACCTTTGTGTTTTTTAAGTTGATTATTACAGGTATGTTTTTATAGTGATGAAAAGTTGTCTAACACCGATAGTAACTGTCCAAATTGCAGGATCAGGCTCAGTAAGTTTCATCTGTAAAATTAAATGGTCAGAATCGATGACTCTAAAACTTATCTGATGACAAGTATCACCTGGAGTTCTTGAATTCTAAACCTTATGCCAGGCCCCCTGGATTGGAGTCTCTGGAGAACAACCCTTGAAAGCCATACGTTTAACAAGGGCTCTGTAAAGTGCAACCCAGCCCTGTGGTTCCTCTTTTATGTGATGCTGGTTTACAGCAAGGTAGAAGCCTGATCCAATGGAAACTCCCCATATTCATCAGCCTCTGCCTCACTGCTGTGAGGTTTATTGAAGTATGTATAAGGACGGCCACATTTATTTGGAGATGTATAGCAATGTCACGGCCTCAGGAAAAGCAACAATACGGTGTTTTGGTCCTCCATTCTGCCTTCCTTCCTCTGCTTAACCCCAGACATGCCCCTTAGAGGAAGTGGGCACTGGGATATGGAGGGAGAGACTTCCGAATGAGGAATGTTTTCTAAATGATGGTGCTGTGCTTTGGGAAAACACACTGATGTCATTCAGTATTCTTCTTCCAAAGAGAGAGGCTTTCTTTTTGGTATTTCAGTTCTTTTAGAATGGTGTCACTGATTAGGGTCTCCCAGAGGCTCCGTTCAAAACAGTGGCTTTAAGTACCCACTTGAGTGTCATGATGCCATTAAAATAGGCATCATTCCTACTCCGTCAAGCTTTCCATCAGGGTAGACAAACAAGTAGAAGGGCAGACAAACAGCTACCCAGCATTAGAGAAACATAAACAAACAAATACCCTACCCAGAAAATAAACACAATTTTAAATGTTGACATTCTGAACAGGGATTAGTACTTATTCTTATGTTCTGGGTTAAGATGGTTGGAACCAGGCCAAGGGTACATGATTCACTACACTGTGCAAACAGAGATTGGATTATTTCCTCCCTATCCATTCACTCTGTCTCCAAATTTAAGATTTGAAAATTTGTTCAGTAAACACATTCTTTTTCTTCTATTTTCTCAGAGTTACTCATGGAGGATACAAAGAACAAGATGCCTTCTGCTCTTTGGGTGCTTGGGAGTGGTAAAAATTAGGAAAGTGAAAGCATTTTTCCCTAAGAAAATAATACTAGGGATCCTTCAGATAAAAGTAAGAAATCCAAATCCAAATAAGCATGTAAATATTTAGATAGCCATCTAAAATCAACTTGTCCTCCAGGTTTTACAGAGGGTTGGTTAAAAGTCAGAGCTAGCTTATTCTGAGCGAATTTCCTTAGCGGCAATGGAGGAGCCACTGTAAATTAATTGGATTTTTTTTTTGTGTGTGTGGGGGGGTCAGATGAGTTCATCTTGTTTTGACTGGAAGTTGTTTTTTTCCTTCTCTTTCCATTTGTAGGAGGCAGAAGACCCAAGTAGATCAGAACTGTAGCTTATTTACACACAGATACGGATAGCTTGTGTTCCCTTGTAAGGGTTATTTAGATACGAAAGATTCTGAATGCAATTCAGCTAGCAAAATGAAATGCAAACCTTCCCTTAGCTTGTGTTCAACTTGTCTGACTTTGGAGATCGTCTCTTAGCAACAGCTGAGCCTCTAGCATATTGGTTCCTCTGAAGATCTGTTATGAAAATAGCTAGCGAGGGCAAAGAAAGTAGACCTGGGATCCTCAGAACATCTCCCAAGGACACAGCCACTACCACAGACCAACATTTTTATACCATCTAATTGTGCTCACAGCAAGAAGTTCCCTGCTAAAGATTAGATATATTTGGTCAAGGACATGATACAAATCTTTTCCATATTTTTGATGAACCTTTATGAGGCTATAAGTTGATTTTCTGGGGTATAATTTGGTTTCCCTTACTATCTTAGTTCTCCATTTACATCACACCAAGTAATAAGTCTCATCCTAAAGTCTTTTCTAACCCTCCAAGCTAGGTAAAATACCTCTTTTTGGAGCTCCCAAAATACACTTTGTACTTACTGCTCTTTTCTCATTGTTTTCTAAGCATTTGATTCTATTACTAGGTTGTGAGCTTCTCAGGGAAGAAATATTACTTTATATCTTCCTTGCTTGGCATATGGTAGAAATTTAACATTTAACACATGCTTCTTAATAAGCAATACACTGAGATGCATAGATATATAGATAGGTAGACAGACCGATAAACATGAATGAATGTGGAGGAGTATATTCCTGCATGGATAATACATTAGCAGACATGGTGGAGTTCATTGGGGTTTTGGGGGTGGTGGTGTGAATAATTCCCCTCCACCAGGACAAGCACTTATCAGCTGTAGGTGTTTGAATAGATTTAGATCCCACATTGTACCTGGGGACCAATATGAAAAACAGATTTGTACCGGCAAAGTTGGTTATAACGTAAGATTCCATGTTGGGATTTCTGTGTGAGAAAGATGAAAAGGAAGTCAGTGGAGGCGAGCTCAGGCCAGAGAGTTAAGCAGAGGGGAGTCAGTAGGAACAGGTTTAATATTAGGGTTTTGAGCCAGTGGGGTTGAGGCTTGGAGAAGAAATGTGGGGACAGAAGAAAAATGGGAGAAGGGTCTGATTTGGGGGATCCTTCTGGATTAGGGACATTTGTTCCCAAGTATTTGTCAGGTCATTGGAACAGAAGTGAGGGAACAAGGAATGGCTCACCTACAAGCACTTGTGCTGGTGCCAGTGGTGTCTGATTGAGCAAGAGTCTGACGGTCACAGTTGTGACCAGGTGTGGCATATAGGGATCCTGACAGTTTTCAGCTCTCTCAGCTGGTACCTCCTGTCACTTGCCGCCTCTAATACAGCAATTTCCAATCCACTGAATTTAATGAAAAGGGAATTCTAAATCCTGAAATTGAGAATCTTCAGGCAACTATTAGAGTTAATTCTCTTTAATTTCTAGTGCTGAATTTTGGCATACATTTTCTTTTTGCTGTAGGACGAGGAATTCTTATATTAAGAAGAATCAATCTCTCTCTCTCTCTCTCTCTCTCTCTCTCTCTCTCTCTCACACACACACACACACACACACACACACACACAATCGTTGCTTTCTAGCTGCTTACAATTGAAACAATGATTCTGATGCTGAAAAGAAACCCAATACACGAAGAATAGATATCAGACCCTGAATAAACATTGTATATATTATGTTGAAATCAGAACTGGAGAAGGAAAAATGAGGCTGGTTTCTTGAAAAGGACATGTTCCTGGGGAGTGAAAACAGTTCTCCAGGGAGCCCCATGAAAATGGCAGGGATTTTATCCAAAAAGTAAATTATCAAGGCAAGTTAAAGCAGAGTAGAAAAATTATCAAGTGTCTATGGGGCCTGCCTGAGCATGGTTAAGGTATAATTTAACACAGAGAAATGTGTGTTTTCTTGTTACAGAACATGTAGTTGTCTTTTCTTGATGATTATCTACATTTCTTTTTTAGATTAAAAAAAAATGGGAGCTTTCCTCAGCAGCTGCTGTAATCCATTGTGAGCCTGCAAACTGCTGAGTGGGATTGTGAAAAAAAAGGTCAGATTTTATGCAGTGTGGCTGCCCGTGCCTCTGATCTGCTGTTCTCAGCCTCTCATGACCTCAGATCTTGAATCATTCTTGCCACTTTTACTAAAAAATATCTTACCCTGTGCGTGTTTCCGGGCATCGGGTGACCCGGCCTGTGCTCTGTTCCACTTACTGAAAGCTGCTCAGAAACCGCACTGGCTTTGCTGCAGAGTGCTTTGGCCAGGACACAGAGAAAATGGTTTTATTTCCTTACATTTGTAATGCCAAGGCATGGCTTGGTAAAAAGAGGATTATGCCAGACCAATGTTATTTCCTTTTGTGCTAAAGGGGCAGGATATCTGGTGGTAGGCAGTGGAGGGGGGAGGGAAGTAACCAATATGAATGTAATTAAGGTACTTGATTTGTGTCACATGATATTAAAAGCCAGAAGCTGAGAGACTGGTAATAATTGGTGTGTTGAAAATTCCTGAAGAGTGATTATCAGTGGCTCCTTATCAACCCGAGTACATCCTTAAGGATTATTCTTTATCAGTCATTTAGGTGAAGATATAGAAAAGGCTCACTCTTAGTGGCTTTGGAGAAGGCACTCATTTGAAGTCAGAGAATGCAGTCTATTTAAATATTAGCAATGAAATGCAACATGACTTTCAAATATCAGAAAATGTGTCCATTAATAATGAAATTTGCTTTTAAACTCAGCAGAGACCAAGATACATTAAAAGCTTTAGGAGTCAGAAATACAGACTCTAGGTGGCATTAGGCTGAAAAGCCATAAATGCAGGAGAAAATGCACCCATGACTGAGTGAGCCACAAGCTAGATGAATTAGTAATGTAGTGTTATAATGAAAACAATTTATTGGGCTTAAGGCTATATTAAATAAAGTACAGCATTGAAAGATGAGAAATCATAGGCCCATGGTGTTTAGAATCATTAACACTTGGAGTTAATTTTTATGACCCCAACTTTAAAAAGATCAAATATTCTAGAGAATCACAAAAACAGTGATGATAAGAATAACAAATAGAAGAAAGAGGAAAATACCCATACTTGGGATGCCACCCTGCTTTCAATGTCTGTTACATGAAATGGCATCCCTGGGTCTTTAATATTATTTGTGGTTCTTCTGGCAGGTCATATTTTACAACTTCAGAACTCCAGTTTCACTGAATAATGAAAAAATAGGTAAGCTGAAGGACTAAAATTAGCCATTAATTATTTGCAAAGCACTCCTCTATCAGGTTCTCCTTGGGCTTGTCCTAGTTTTCTTTGTCCCTAGCTGTAGAGAACATTTATCTTTTCAAACAAGTGCAGAATCACACCAGCACCCTCTGGCCTGAAATTCAAACTTCTTTTGTATTGATTCTAACCAATTACTGCTTTTAGCTAAAATGCTAAACCATAAACAAGGGAAGTAACAACCCCAAGATTTTCTGCCAATATTGCTTGCAATTAAACTCTTCTAGAGACAGTGCCACAAGCCCAGTAGACTTGCACTTGACTAACTGGCAAAGTCAACTCCTTTGAGAGAGAAACAAAAATCTCTTGGTCTTTTTTTTTTTTTTCCTAAACTTACTATGAAAGTATAACATATACAGAAATATGCAGAAATGGTCACATCTCAATGTTTTTCCAAAATCAACACGTGGGTAACCAGCTCCAAGATAAAAAACTAAAGTACTGCTAGTACCCTAGGAGCCCTTCTTGTAACCCACCCAGTCTCTATTTTTTCTCAAAGGTAAATGGAATCTGACCTCTTTCACTTTTGCTGTTATCAGCAACACTCCAAGGAACACATTTGCAAATGTCCCTTTATTCACATGTGCATGCATTTCTGTTGAATAGATGCCTCCACTTGTTCTGGTTTTAATGACAGGTAGATATTCCTGTCAGAAGGAATACACACACGGAAGTGTGAGTGCCTTGAACCTATATTAGGACAGTGTGACTTGGTCTTTGGGTGGCTTTTGTCTTTAGAATCAAAGACTGATGAATGATGGATAAATGTTTCTAACAGCCTTAAATTGTTTGGTGTGTTTTTCTTTAAGAGCTAAAACAAGATACCTGTAACTGGTGTTCCTCTGATGGCTGAAATATGTTAGTTCCTTTCATAGGATCTAAATTTAGAAAACATGGCCCTATAATTTGTTGAAAAGACCTAGGCCTGGAGTTTAAAAGGAATATCCAAGTATATTAGTTTAAAACTTGAGAAGTAGTTTCTTAAAATGGTAGTAGACAAATATTTGTCTGTATCCTATGGGAAAATATCCCTAGTATTATTAATTGTGTATCTTAATTTTGCAACTATTGGAGTTTATACATTCTAAATAATTTTGATGACAGAAATGCATTTTTTCAATGGGGTAGCTCATAGCTACCCATAGCTCAAGGAAGCAATTTCTCTGGTTAAAAAAATGATTATACTTTGACAATTCAATTTGCAAAAGTCTCATGACAGACTCAGTGTCCCAGAATCTAATTTCATTATAATCTATAACTATAGATATAAAAAAATCTCCATTGGAATGTTATCATCTATTTCTTTGACATAATAATTATAAAAGGCTATGAAGTTTATAAGTCTCTGCACTTGATTTTTGTATATGATATTATTTATTAGTTTGCCAGACTGCTTTTGAAGAATTCAGTTTTTTGTATGATTGCTTGTATTTGAATATATTTTGTGATTCTCTTATTGTTGATTGAACAAGAGATGGATGATACTTTCTTTTTAATTTGGGAAAAGCATAGTTTTGAGGCTCCCAGTTTCTTGATTTTCTTTCTTCCAGGGATCTCTACTCAACTTTAGCCACTCTCTCTCGGTCAAAGCCTAGAGTTAATATTACCAATATTGAAAACCCTCCATAAACTCATTCTCAAGGGTCGCATTCTGATTCTTTCTCCCTCCCTTCTATATCCTGATCCCAGTACCTCAGCAATCCCTCTGGATCCTCCAGCCCACTGATCCTACCACCTGTTTGTTGCTCTCACCCCCGATGTCCTCATTTCCCTCTGAGCCCAATTTAGACTTCTTGGGCAGTCATTGTAAACATTCCCTTGCCCACGCACTAGATTCTCTGGCTTCTTTCTCACTTTGACATGTTTGCTTACCAAAATTCCACTCCTTCTCTTCAATTTTCGGCCTAATCCTTGCCTGCATTTGGATAGCTGAATGTGACTGAAGAAAAACACACAACTGTGCTTTTGATCCTCATGTAAATTCACAACTGATCCCAAAGAGCTGGCTGGCTCTCCTTCTGTCCTCACACAGTACCGGCCTCCACTCTCCTGAGTCCTGCTCACACTTTTCCCTCTCTCCAAGCTACCAGAACATCCTGCCTCTTCTTCACACCCCCTTTGATTGTCCTCCTAAGGAAATGGGACTGATCATAAGGACTCCACATGGCCTGTCCTCACATGGTCTCTGTCCACCTTCCAGCATCTCTACCCAGTATTCCATTTCCCTCCTGTGGCCCTGAGTGTGGCTCTTTCTGCACTCCTCTTTCAGGCCAATGTCTCCACTTCTGCATGACTTCTCCTTTTCTATCCTTTACTCAAGGATTTTGCTCCTGGTATTATTCCCCTCGTCTCTAATGTCATTATTTTCTCCTTCATTTTTTATGATAATTTCTGTGTTATAGCCCTCGACAGTGCTGTCTATGCTTACTATCTCTATATTCTCTCTGTGTCCCTCTGTCTCTCTGTGTCTCTGTGTCTGCCACCTCCCCACCCCGAGACAGGGTCTCAATGCATTGCCCAGGCTGGTCTTGATCTTCTGGGCTCAAGTAATCCTCTCGCTTCAGCCTCCTGAGTACTGGAACACAGGCACACACCACCACTCCTGGCTTGACCCATTCTCCACAGAACTTATTCCAAACTTTCTTTTATGCTGTCTTCCTGAGGTAGTCGTTACTAAGGAGTCAATTATTCCAGGTGTTAAACGCAAACTTTGGGCTCTATCTAATTGCACCTGTCAGAAACATTTGATGTGATGACCCCACCTTCTTTCTTGAAGTATTTTTTTTTTCACTTTGCCGTTTGAGATGTTTTTTCTTAGCTTTCCTCTTACCCATCTGATGATTCATTCTCCTTTCACTTATCTCACCAAACCTCTAAACACTTAGAGACCCCAGTGGTCATCCTTGGGCCTCTCTCTTCTCTATCTACACCCACTCCCTGTGGACTGCATCCAGACCCACAGCTTTAGTACGCTAATGACATCCACATGCTGATGGCTCCCAAATTTATATCTCCAGCCAGCCGTCATCTCTGTTTTAAACTCCAGACTTTAACATCTAGTTGCTACCTCAACATTTGCACACAGACTTTGGGTAGGCAAATCAAAATGCACAGAATTCTGAATCCGAACTCCTAATTTTCACATCTGCCCTTACTGCATACCACCCAGATCATTTTCCTGAAGGTTTCTCAAACTCAGCAAATGGCAACTCCATCTCTCAGAGTCTCTTTTCCTCATACCTTCTCAATCCACTAGAATGTAAATTCAGTAAGAGCAGGAATTTGGAGTTATTTCATTCACTGCAATAGTTTCCAATACTCATGAGTTTCTGGTATGTGTGGTAGATGTGCAAAAAATATTTAAAAAATGAGTCGAGTCACTAAATCAAATATATAGGAATAAATATTCCCATGGACTATTCAGAATACTTATACTAAACTTTTACTCATTGTTTATTTGAAATTCAAAGTTACCTGAGTATCCTTATTTTTATTTACTAAATCTGGCAATCCTATGAATGAATACTAGATGAGGTTTCTGAAGAATGAATAGAATTCTGCAGGAAGAAAAGGGGTAAGAAAGGACATTGTGGCAGACAGACTGAATTGCAAACGCATACAGGTATAAAAGCAATATCACTCATTCAGAGAAGAGTTCTGTGGAAATGTGAGCCTGTCCTCGACTCTGGCAGAATTACTTTGCTGGAGAATACATTTGAAAAGGGCCTGAGTCAAAACTTGGACAGATTTTAAGTCTTGTCTTTATAGATGGGTGGTAATAAAAGTTCATAGGAAGTTTAGAGGATAGGATTTTGTTTCTCCATTATGCCATTATTACCGGAAAGGATATACAAAATATAAAAAGAATATCCTTGGGGTGAGGGAAAATATAGTTAGCATTTTCAACCGCAGGATTATATGAGGTCACTCACAATTATATAGTTATTAATATTGCTGATATTTTTAGGCCTAATTTATCAGGAAATTATCCTTATAAGGGAGGAACTTTTATGCTTATTAGTTCTTTTTATCTGAGAAAGAAGAATTTGCCTTATGTGGTGGATGGCACAGCCTGGTGCCCATAGGCACTTTCAAGCCTGAGGCACTGATTCAGCCAGTGGGAGTGGTGGTAGCTGATACTCTCCTTTGAATTATTTCCCCTGAGGCCATTAAACAAAAAGAACCACTCTGCCTGCATCACACTGTCTCCCTGAAGGGTCCGCATCTTATGCCCAGAACTCTATGTGGATCAGCTAAGGCCTTTGCTGTAATTTCAGTGCAGTTCATTTCCTCGAGCTGCTCAGTCCTCCTTCTGTCGTCTGCTGTCCGTATTGCCCTGATGACCTCTCACCCCTTGTCTGTGTGCAGTCTTCATCTCAGAGACTGCTTCTGGGGGAATCTAACCTAAAACAGTTGGCTCCAGGGATAATCTGAGGGTGCTAACTCTCAAGTGGGTTTCACACCAGAATGACCTACAGGTCACAGGCAATGAAGACACCATCACTGGTGGTAGATGAAGGTGATCAATGCTCAGCATGTTGTAGCCGTGTGATTGTTCAAACTCTGACTGGTTGTTAAGTGAGCTTGGCTACTGGTGGAAATAATAAAGGCACATTTGTTAAGTCAGGAGAGGTGGTAATTATAAAGAACTATGGAAATAAATGAGTGTTGCTATGAACATTTGATGTGTTGGAGAGAGATACTGAATGACTGAGGGTGATTAATTAAAGATCAGAAATCTGAAAGAACTTGGTATCGTATAAGGAAATTTGTTTTTGGTAGTTCTGGGGATTGGACACAGAGCCTTTATACTAAGCTGCATACCTAGCTCTATTTATTTTTATTTCTTATTTTAATATAGGGTCTGGCTGTTATGGCTATATCTAGATGTCCTCATAAAGCCTCATGTGATCATACATGGGACGTTTGAAAGGTGATTAGATTTATGGGGGCATCACAGCTGACTTCCTGTTAGGAGGCAGGGCTTGGTTGGAAAAGGCTGTCTACTGTGTGTGTGAGCTGGATGGTTATATCTCTCTTCTCAGTTCCTTCCTTGATTCACTCTGCTTTCTGTTCACCACACTCTGAGTGGCTCCTCACCATCATGCTCCTCTGCCATGGTGTCCCGCCTTTGAGCCAGCCAACTATGGACTGACATGTGAGCCAAAATAAACCTTTTCTCCTTTAACTTGTGGGTATTGTGTTTAGGTGACAAGCAAAGAGACTAAGACAGATTTTGGTACTAGAGATGTTGGGGGTCATTGCTCTGATGTGACCTGACCATGTAGTTCAGAAATCTTTGGAACTGGTTTGAGGGAGCAGTTTGGAAAGGTTTGGAGATGCTGACTTAAGCTGCTCTAGAATGCTGGAAGATTCTGGTTGGAGCTCAGGAGATCAGAATGCCAATAGAAATGCAGGTGGTAAAGACCAGGGTCACTTAGGAATAAGGACACTGGCACTTTGACTCAAGACCATGTGTTAAGTTCTGGCAGAAAATTTTTCTACATTTTGATCATGTCCTGATACTTTTAGAATAGTAAGATTAAGGGCAATGGACTAATTAAAGTGGTGGAGGAAATTTCAAGGCAGCCAAATGTTCAAACAGTGGCACGGATACACCAGGGGGCTTTTTGCCAGCTCTACATTGAGCACTAAGTGCAAAGAGCAAGATGAGTGATTTTAAAAGTTTTGAGTTTCACCAGAAAGGAAGCTCCTGTAAAGTCGGGGGCCTCTTACATTGGAGCAGAGAGAGCTTGGCTGCTGAAAAGACTAGCCAGCAGTCAACCTTGGTATCATCCACATGGTGCTGGTTTTACAGGCATGCAGAATGCAAGAGTTGGGTAAGAGAGGCTCCTACCTAGATTTCAGAAGAAAACCTGGGAATTCATGGCAGTTGTTGAAGTTGTGAGAATGAAGCCAAGAGTGCAGTGGAGACTCCAAGAAGTTAGAGGTTTCCAGAATGTGGAACATCTGAAGAAAGCCACAAGGTGTGACCAAAGCTAGTCCAAGAGAAGGGCCAAGGAGCTACAGCCACTGGCAGTGCCACAGGGGAAGGGCTGCCCAGATCATTTGGAATTCACATTTCCCTATTGCTTGCCCGAGATACTAGTTAGGATTTAATGTTTACCCTGGTGGGTCTCAATCTTGCTTTGGTCTCATTGCTTTCTAGTCATTCTTTACTTTTGATGAGACGAGATCTGGCACATTCAGGGTGATATGGCTATAGACCATTCCTCACTTTTGAAATGGGAATGTTTACCTTGTACTTACATGTCAGCATGCTTAGCTTTTGATTTTTACAGGGACTCACAGCTAAGAGTTTGCCTTAAATCTCAGAGATTTTGGACTTGGACTTTTCAGCAATGCCGAAACTTTTAGGACTTTGGCAACTCTCACACATGGTCTAAATGCAATTTGCATGAGTCTTTTGTTCATGAGTCATTTGGGGGCCAGCATATTGCATCTAGATATCCCCCTGAATCCTTATGCAATTATAGGTGGGACCTTTGGAAAGTGACTGAACTGTAGCTTCCTTTCTGGCTTGTTCTTAACTCTCTCTGCTTTTTGTCCGCCATGCTGTCAGCAGCTCTCCATCATGCCCTCCTTCCCTGCCATCTTGGCTTGCAGCCAGCCAACTATGGGCAGAAGCACGAGCCAAAATAAACTTCTCCTTGGAGTTGCAGCGGCTGGGTATTGTGTCTCCGTGACAAGGAAAGTGACTAAGTATTGTGTCTCAGTAGCAAGGAAGGTGAGTAAGATACTCGTTAAATGGATAAATTGCCCTGATTGGATTTGAATTTGTGATTCTCCTGGTATTGCCTCCCAAAGTGCTGGAATTATACCATGCCCTCAAGAAACTATTACCTTATAGCTGGAACACAAAAAGTGCTGAGGATCAGACCTAGGGCTTAATTATGAGAGGAGAGCTCCAGAAGATTGCATTTTGTCTTGTGGTGGGAGATCTTAGACGACAGGTTGCAAAGGAAGTCCTACCAATTGGCAGATTTTTGGACAGTGCACATAGCCCAGTACTGTTGTAGATTAGCTGGGATGGTCAGAAAGATTAGAAGACAAAGACATTTGGAGAAGAGGATGTTGACAGCCATGACCTGAAGTGTGAAGGTTTTTAAATTTCTTTCTGATGCTAGTCTGAGAATACCTACCATGCGAGAGGCACGGAAAAACAAAGTAGACACAGTGGCTTCACTGGTAGGTAACAGCCAGCCCCCGTGTGAGTCACCCCTAGTGTTGGCACAGTGGGCATATGAGCAGAGTAGCTATGGTGACAGGAAACATATACTGTACACAGGCTAACAGCGTGGACTCCCAGTTTGCAAAGCTGATGTATCTACTGCAACTGCCAAATGCCTAACTTGTCATCAAAACAAATCAGCCCTGTGTACCCATTACTACAAAGGAGAGTGAAAGTGGATACATGACTATGAGATGAACTGACTGTATCAACTACTATACAGCCCATCCCTGCCAGCCTCCTAACAGGACGGAATGGCCTTTGAAGGGTCTGCTGTGGCTCAGGTTTGGAGATAATAATGTGAGATGAGGGAACCTCATCCTTCAGGTGGCAGGACACAGCCTAGGTTAGACATGGCTGTGTGGTACTGTGTCCTTAGTAAGAAGAGTACTTGGGGACATCTAGGAAACAATGCAGAAGTAGAGGTGACTGTGCTTATCATCACAATCAGTGACTATCAGGAACTTCTGCTTTCTGTCCTTGCAACTATGAACTCTGTGAGATTAAAGGTCTTATATTCTAAAGGGAAACCACTCCCACTAAGGAACACAGTACTCATCCCATCAAACGTTAAAGCCATAGTTGCTACACAATTACTTCAGGCTTCTTGTTGCAAGAGACAAGAGAAGAAAAGAAGTCATCGTTCTGGGGCTGTGTCGTATTGGACTCAGCAGGGGTAACTGACTTGGATCACTAGGAGGAGGTGGATTGCTCATATAAAATGACACCAGGAAAAAGAATGTTTTACATCCAGGTCATCACCAGGGAAGTCTCCTTGTAGTCTCTTTCCCTGAAGAGTATGTGGTAACCAGGGTCTCAGACCCATCAAGAGTTGAGGGTGTAGATCATCCTATCAGGTAAATCCCTGAGTCCAGCAGAGATGTTAGGCAAGGGTGAGGGGAATCTGTAATGAGTTTAGAGAAGAGAAAAAATTCAATAGAGGCCTCAGGATCCATTGCTGCAGTGACAAATGCTATGGTTTTTCTTGCCAACCTTTCTGTTAAGTTTCCCTGAAAAAAAAAAAAATTAGAATCCCAGAAGAATTGTTTGCAGAACCCAATTTACAAAGAAAATAATCCAAGCAGCAAAAAAAGGATGGACTGCAGTTAATACTGAGAAGCACTGCCCTGATCTTCCCTCCAGAACTGAGATGCCATTTCCCCAGCTGTTGGGAGTGCTGTTCTTCTGGGCTGTAGGTTGAGTCATTCTCCTGGAAGTGCTCTCAGTCACGCACCCAAGGACATACCCTCCTTGGGACCAGTTCCCAACCATTGACTAATGGATGCAAATGTAAAGACCCAGCCCTTTTGCGTCAAGGTGTCAAGGACAAGACAGGCTATCTCGCTCCTCTTATGCTGCTGCCTTGCTTTTTTTTTTTTTAACATCTGCTTGCCAACTCAGCTCCTCCCTCTATCCAGTCCTATTTCCTTCTTTTCCCACTGTCGGGGCTCATTCGAAGATATTCTCTAATAAACTTCCCACACACAAATGTCTGTTGTGGAATCTGTGCCTCGGGGAACGTGAGCTAAAAAACCTTTTTCATCAGTGTGTAATTTATGACCAAGAAGAGTAAAGAGCTGTGAGAGACAACCTGAGTAATGAGTGAGTCACTAGCTGATAATTCAAGAAGGAAAGTACAGGGAACTGGATGAAGTCAGAGGTGTTGGTATATGCCTATAATTCTAGCACTCTGGGAGGCTGAGGCAGGCAGATTTAAAATCTGAACCCAACTTGGGCAACTTAATGAGACCCTGTCTCATCATCACCATTTCATAATAAATTTCATTTTTTTAAAGGGCTAGAGATGTAGCTCTGTGCGAAGGCCCTGTAGTGGGGGAGTGGGGCTGGATGGACAGTGATATGAGAAAATAAGAATGTTGTTGGGTAATCTTTCCAAATGAAGAAAGACTCCTTGTTGAGATTGTGTCCAGAAGAGAGTTAGAGAGATATATAAATGAGCCAGAAGTTTTAAGCAAAGAGAATGACCCGAGGCAGTGTTCTGTGAGAGGCAACATATCAAACACGCCTTGTACATGCCCTACATCCTCTCAGCCCGTCTTTTCATTCTGATCATTGATGTGACTGCTGCTGGTGGAGTTAAACGAGGTCAGCTTACAGCAATGTCCTAAGCACTGAAGGTTTCTCCAGCAATGTGTAAATGTAACCCGACAGCACCTTACCTCTGCCCTGTCACAGTTGTCTCTCAAGCTCTCTTGCTTCTGTCCTCTGTAGGACCTGTAGCAACCACCCAGCCATTCTGACACAATGGGTATGCAAATCTGGCAGGAAGTTTCCCTTCCTGGGGCAACCCTGGACCAATGTGGGATGTTCACAATGTACAGGGACCATCAGAGAGTTCCTGGTGGGGGGGAGCCCCACTTGCCCAAGTGACTGACCTAATAATGCATTTTTGGATGGGTTTCCCTCCTCTATTTTATTCTTTCTAGTCCTCTGTTCTCATCACTTGGAGAATAAATTACCTGCATGCAAATGCTTAATTTACATTTTACTTATTAAGGAAATTCAGGCTAAGACAGTTTTACCAAAAATGACCTTAATAGGAAGCCTTCAAAAAGGAGTCTTGATTTTTCTCCAGTCCTTACCATCCCTTTGTGACTAAATGGCTTGCAGTGGCATCCTGATCCCTACTATTTTCATCATTGGTAAACTAGAGTCAGATGCAGATGAATACTGAAGCAATGTTGCATTGTATTTTTTTTTCCTTCTCTTTTTCCTCTCCCTCTCCCACTCCTGCTCCCTTTTCCTCCCCTCCCCTGTTTTCCTTTCCCTCTTTCTCCCCTCCCCGCCTCCTCCTTCTTACAGGGTCTTGCTGTGTTGCCTAGGCTGGTTCTGAACTGAGTTCAAGTGATCATTCTACTTCAGCCTCCCAAGTGCCAGGATTACAGAACAGCCTCACTGTATCTGCTTGAAGCATTGTCACAGCATAGCAATGACACTTGAACGATATGAGAACAATGTATCACATGAAAATTGTATGGACTTTTTCTTACTTTATGAAATACTGAGGCAGGCTACTGTATAAAGAAAGAGGTTTTCTTTTGGCTAAAGGTATAGGTCTAAAGGTACAAGGTCTAGAGGTACAAGGTCTGAAGAGCATGCTGCAGGCTCTGGCAAGGGCTCCATCATATCTTAACAGTAGCTTGTGTGTGTCCCTGAGTTGGTCTGGTCTCTCTTCCTCTTAAAGGCCCAGGGATTTAATCATAGGGCTCCACCCTAATGACCTAATTTAATCTAATCACTTCCCAAAGGTCCCACTTCTAAATACCAGAGCTGAACTAAGTTTCCACTCTCTTAACACCACTAACAGGAGTTTGGGGATTAAATTCCTGCATGAGTTTGTTGAGGACAAATCATTTCATACTCACACCATAGCGGATTTGGAGTTGGCTGCATGTTATTAACAGCACCACAAGACTTGAGAGAAAAAATAACAGGGTCAGGTTTGTCAGCTACCAACTTCAGACATGTAGTGAAAGTCAGAAGGCCTTCCTGGTACAATAATGTAACAAGGCTCTTGTCTTCTGCAACCTAGGCCTGGGATTTAATGTAGGGACAACAAAGTTACGGCAGATAATGAGAATGTACAACTCTTATGCCAAGGTCAAAGCCCTGGTAGGGCATTTGTGAGACACTGAGACATGGAAAGGGGATATTTGGGTGAATTTGCCAGAGATTCTTGAGCTCCCAGGCCCTCCTGAATTTGAGCATAGCAGTAGTTCACTATCCTATGCTGGAGGAAAAAAGCCAGAAACCTCACTCTCAGAGACCCTTCAAAGACTTCAGTGGAGGCAATTGCTTTATGATATTAAATGTGCTCCTCAAGATCTGTTCTTCCTCCTTTCATCACCTCAAAAGCGGGCTAAGATGTACTGGCAGGAAATGGGAAGGTATATGGAAAGGTGGACCTGGAGGGAATTGACCTAAAAAGGCCATGTTCTAAGGCTGTGGAGCTAAGAATTCACAGATATGAGCGCAATCTCCTCTCACTGGGAGCTTCGTATCCTTGCCAAGGACATCTGAGCAAGTCCTCATTTGCTCTGAGATCGTTCCCTAAAAACTGAGCATGAAGATGACCTGCAATGAATGAGGTAGAGATGGTCCAACTGTCCTGCACAATTGAGTAGGAGTCTTAGGGAGATGGAACTATAAGACTGCATTTATTAGGTGATGCAGAGAACCTGTTCTGTGAACATGTGGTCTAAGGCACATCTCTTCCATTTAAACAATAAGAATGTACCAAACAAGCAGGGCAAAAGCACCTTCAAGAAGTCCAGTTATGGCCACCTGCCATTGAGTATAGTAACTCTAGGACATATTGCAGCCATGGAACTGAGCTTTATTGAATCAGTGATTGTGGGAGAATTCTGGAATAGCAGGATTCAGGTGGTTGTACTCAACAGACAAGGACAAAGTGGATGAAAGAGGAGTGGGCTAGGTTGGAATCTCAATCAGGACATCTTCTCTTGCCA